AAGTCGAAGCACGAAGTGGCAAGGGTTCACTGTATACCTAAGGGAAAGGAAAACATATGTCCACATAAAAATTGTAAATGAATGTTCATGGAAGTATTCTTTTTTTTTTAAAATCATTTTATTGGGAGCTCGTACAACTCTTATCACAATCCATGGCAGTTATTATTCTTAATTGTCCCAAAGTAGAAACAAATTGATGTGTGGCAACGGAAGAATGAGTAAATAAAATGTGGTCTATCAATTTTTTCAAATTTTTTTCATAAAAAAGAGAAATGAAGTACTGATACATGTTAAAAAACAATCCATCTTGAAAAACTTCTGCTAGGTGAATTCAGCCAGTCACTAAGAAGGCATGTTACGATTCCACTGATATGATATGTTCATCATGGGCCAATCTGCAGGGACTAAAAATAGATTAGTAGTTGCCAGGGGATGGGGTGAGGTTGGGTGAAGGGCTGAGGGAAATGGGGAGTCACTGTTAGGGGTGATGAACATGCTCTCATTGATCGTGCCGATGGCTGCACGACTCTAAGTATGCTAAAACGCACTGCACCGTGCACTCTACAGGTTGGATTGTATGTCTGTCTATCTCAATATATCACTTTGAAAACATTTTATGTGAGCGGTTTTACTTTTGTTCAAACTGCATATTACAAAATTTGGAATTTCTTTAGTCAGAAGATAACCTTGATATTATTTTCATGACACTAGAAAGGATAAGTCGTTTGTCTACTTGAATTTGAATTTGAATTTGAGCTCTGAGCTCTTCATCTACCAGAGGCATTTAGTCAATATAGAAACAGAAAAGTTATAAGAGATGTAAGTGAGAGATCAACACAGACACGGAACGGAGATAGAATTGAGACAAACTTGGAGTTAAGAGTGGTTTTATTAGGGCAGGGAAAGAAAGAGCTCCAGGGAGGGAAGGGAGAGCAGAGAAAGGGACAGGAGCATCTTGAGCTCCTGGGCGGGTTCTGAAACCCAACAGTTAGGTCAGAGAAATCGCAGTTTGTGGATGAGGCAGTGGGAGAGATAGAGGGCGAGCTATATAACAAGAAGGGGGATTGTTTGCCTGCAGCTGCAGGACCTTGTTGTGTGCCAACCTGCTCCCTGGAGTGCTGGCACAAGGGCTGCACACCTTAGGCTGGAGAGAGAAGCTCCTTGGAAGGTTGGGGCAGAAGATGCATGCTTCAATAGGCCATCTATCTTCCCGAGAGGCTGGAAATGGGGGCCTTGAAGTTCTATCCTCCTGAGGAGCTGGAGAGGAGATGGGGGCTGCCTCGTTTGGACCCAGCCCAAACAGTAAGAGCCCCCAATAAAAGTATTTAATAATAATAAAAATAGAAAAGTG